AAGACAAGGGTTAAATTGGATCCAGTTCCTCTCCAACACTGCTTATCAGAATTGTGTAAATGACAATAGAATTCACCTTTTGCTTTTATCCTGCAGGGTTCATAGTGGAGGAATTGTGCATTCTCTTTTTTCCAGGGCTGAAGTTAGCACTTTTAAGGAGGGAATCCTGCAACATTGAACTCAGTTTGCCTATTGCTTTATTATATTTTTGTTGTTAAAATTTTAAAATTTTGATTTCATTTTGCAATCAGTTCTCAGCTTTCTTTCTTACTCCCTCCCCATGCTGATATCTTTGTCAAGCTGTATTTTTGGATGGTACTGGGTACCATCTCATCTTCCCCATTTTTTTTCTTTTAGTAAAATCTCTTTGTGGTTTGGAAGCCTCCCAGCTTCCTGCAGAGGAAGCTCTTTCTGGGGTTGGTGAGTCCTGTGACATCATCGACAGCAGTGATGAGATGGATGCCCAGGAGGAAAACATCCATGAGAGAACTGTCTCCAGAAAAAAGAAAAGCAAGAGGCACAAAGGTACAGAGTTTGCTTTCTTTGGGCAGTCCTGTCTTTGGTGATAATTGAAGCGGTCATTTTCTCAACACAAGAGGAGATCAAAAGTGGTGATCCATCGGGAAACTGAGTTTGGAGAAAACCTGGCTCTTAATAAGATCTTAATAGTGGGACAATACCTGTTAATAGATCTGGATTTTTAACTTTTGTCTAAATTTGAGAAGAAAGAAGACTGATAGTAGCCATTATTGAGAACATTAAAAACATGCATTTCTAGATTTCTGAATGGGTGAAGGAAGCTGAGGTGTGACAAAAATGTTTTCCAAATATGTGGATTTTACATAATCAGTTTTGCGTTAGATAAAGTTAGATATTATCACGGACTTCTAAGTACTGTGCTTTATAACTAATAGGTACTGTGGAAAATAGAAAAGTGAATGATGGTTATGTCTTAAAGGTGGTAAGACCTTTAAATGAAACAGAAACTAATGATATATAATGTGCCAAATCATTAGCCAAATTCCCACATTGTGCTTTATACTTAATGAATCAGATTCTCTTGGGGTAGAGCTTAGAATAGCTATTGTTAAGGCCAAAGTGGTTCTGATGATCAGCTAGGTGTAGAGGAAGCTGAGAAGTAAGAAATGATTTGTATATTTTTGGTTTCAGATCTACCAGAACTTTCACCTCTACTTGAGAATCACATAATAGATATTTATATTTGTGAAATCTGTTGAAATAATCAGTATATTAAAGAACTTATATTACTTTGCTGTTATAGCAGAAAGCAGCCTTGGGAAGGTGGTGGAGGGGCTTTTTACCCAGGAAAGAAGAAACCTGCTTTTAGTTCTACGATTATGGCTGAATTAAGGGTTAGTCCTTGGTGTTAGTCCATATATATACATCTTTGTGGAGTGTGTTTGTTACTTGAACCTGAGATATTTAGTGGATGACTCAGGGTCAATAGAATTAACACTAATAAAGTCTGAAGCAGAAGGTGGAGGTAGGAATATCTTATCAAGGAGTGACTAACTGCCCCTAGTCAGGATTATAGGCCAAACTGAAAGTGAAATAAGGAAAAAAACAGAAAAAAAAAAAAAGAAACATGTTTACAAGAAGTTATTGAGTACACACTGCGCTCATCTGTTTCTTTTTTTTTTTAATTTAGTCTGCACTTGAAGTTTCCTCATGCCATTTAAAATCAATTTTGTTTTTTACATGACTGAACTGAAGAAAACATTTGGTCGATGGGGATTGCAAGGAAAATCAAAGTCAGGGTTGAAAGTGCAAAGCTGGAATTTGGAGTCAACAGAACCTGGATTCTGTTGATGTTGCCTTAGTGGCAAGGCTCTGTTTTCTTATTACTAAAATGGACACAATAAGTCAGTCACGACATCACATGCCTATAATCGCAGTGATTAGGGAGGCGGAGGCAAGAGGATCACAGATTCGGGGCTAGTTTCGGCATTAGTGAGAACCTGTCTCTAAAAGGACTGGGATGTAGCTCAGTGGCACAGTGCCCATGGGTTCAATCCCCAATACATAAGAAAAAAAAATCAATAAAATAGGCACAATAATATTTTCCTTATTTCTGTTGAAAATTTATTAAAGTTGAATGATATAATGTACGTGAAAACACTTTACAAACTTAAAAATAATATGTGAGTATTTGTTTTAAAATGGCTTGAAGAATGAGGCTTATTCACTCAGGCAAAAGTTTTCAGCAGTAGAAGTAGCAGGAAATGTTAACCCCAAGGGGCTTCCTTGAACCTATTTAAACCCTTTTCTTAACTGTGCAAGACCTGAGAGAATTGAAATGATTGCGTATCTTTAGTTATATGTGCAATAGAAAATCAAAGGTTATTGTGGTTTTTTTTTTTTGTTTGTTTGTTTGTTTTTTGTTGTTGTTTATTTCTTTCAGAGGACCTGGACAAGGCTGGAGGAGAAGAGTATCCCATGGATATTTGGCTATTGCTGGCCTCCTACATCCGTCCTGAGGACATTGTGAATTTTTCCTTGATTTGTAAGAATGCCTGGACTGTCACTTGCACTGCTGCCTTTTGGACCAGGTTGTACCGAAGGTGCGACCACAGAGAGCTCACTCAAATTTCTCTGTAGCTGATTCCATTGCTGTTTGTGATTTGGAGCTACTCCCTGGATGGTGATCTCTTTTCACTTTCTCTCCTCCATGTCTGGTTATGACCCCAACTTTGGACTCTTTGACCCCTCTCTAGTTTAAATTTAACATTATGAATTTATTCAGGTAATTGTCTTGCTTACAGTTACCTTCTTCACTTTTTTATCTTTGTTTAGCAAGTCTTGCTTCAGGTCTTAGAAAGAAAAGACTTTGACTTTTCCTCTGATGTTTATGTTAGCTAGAATATTCAAAAGCTACAAATGGCTACCTGTTTATCTTTCCACTGGATTAGTTGTTTCTTAGATTTTTTTCTAGTCATCCGAAATTTTCATATAGTTTTTGTACTTAATGCTGCCCTATATAAAATCATAGTGGTGAGGAGTGAATAGATTGTATGATTAGTAAAAGGGCTAGCTTTTGATGCAGGGTGTGGAATTGTAGTGGAGATTGTAAATAGTCCGTAAGGTTGTGGTTAGAATGGATGTTGAGATAGTGTAGCAAGCAGGGAGTAGAAAATCTGTTGAGACGTTGGACAGGGAAACCTGATGGCTCTTCTATAGGAGAGGGTTTCCCTGCCCCTCGGTGCTAGGGATTGAACCCAGGGGTGTTTTACCACTGATCTAAATGCTGTCACTTTCTTCCTAAGTTACTGGGATGGCTTTGAACTTAGAATCCTTCTCTCTTCGTTTTTTGTGTCTCTGATTATATGTGTGTACTACCACTAAAGTATACTATTCTTTTGTCAGTTCAGAGACTTGTTCTTTTGTAGAGTGAAATAGGATTTAAACTTTTAAAATGGGTGAAAAAGTACAGGATTATAAGCTGAAGAATCAAAAGTCACTGCGAAGTTGAGATGGTGATTTGTATGTATATGAGCACTGGGACTAGCTAACTACTGGCCGATGGAATAGTGCAGTGGCGTTCACGTAGAGACCAGGAGTCCTAGGAGACTGATGTAGAGCAGGAGAGACAGTCAAATGTTGGTAGGAGTAATGTGTCATGTTTCAGGCACTACACGCTGGATGCTTCTCTGCCTTTGCGCCTGCGACCAGAGTCAATGGAGAAGCTGCGCTGTCTTCGGGCATGTGTGATCCGTTCTCTATACCATATGTATGAACCATTTGCTGCTCGAATCTCCAAGAATCCAGCCATTCCAGAAAGCACTCCCAGCACATTAAAGAATTCCAAAGTAAGTGAGAGTTAGTGTTGGGGTTTGATTAATAGACTCTTATATGGTGGCCTGTTACTGTGGCTTATTTTCAGCTTCTCTGATGGGGAGGGCTATAGGTCCCAGGCTGCTAGAGGACTAATATAAACTTATAGAACTCAAAGAGATTTCATTTCTCTAGGATATTCCTGCTGTGCTGGGCTGGCTTGTTATCTTTACATATAGCTTTCTTGTGCTTTTAGTGTATTCCTTATTCCATTTTAATTTATTTTCATGCATTGTACATTGGACCACTTTAGATACGATGGTTTTGATGGTTTGGGCTAGGAAGAGCATAACTCAAAAGGTAGATATATGCTATAATTTTTAAAAGGTGCTTAAATCATGATATAAGGACATAACCTGAATAATTCACATACTTTCTCTTTCTAATGTAATCTTGACATCTGGGATTCCCTTTATTATTCTCGACCTTCTTAAAGGATTCTGATGTAGATTTCTTTAGCATTTGCTAAGTGCTCAGTGCTAGGCTGTTGTTGGGCTCTGTGGGTAGGTTGTCTCAGAGACCATCAGTTCCTCCAATTCATAAACTTTAGGGCTCTAAAATTATATATGTTTTAGGCTATTTTTATCTCAAGATTCTCCCAGTATTTTATATTCATACATTGTATTCAAGTTAGTGGCGTTCTTCTGATTAGTAAATAGGTCTACTAGTCTTTGGTACATTCTTTCCTTTTCTCCTCCCTGATGAAATGTCTAGTGAAATCACCTTTGTCAAGCTAGACTAGTATAGTAGATCTGATTATGCAGGCAAGTTGATGTCTCAACCCTTTTCTTACTCAACTAATATCATGTCTAAATTTCATCTTTTGAGGTTATAGCTAATTTTTATTATTCCTGTTCCTATCCAAAGTCTGATGTTCTATAGCACTTCCAATTCTCTTGTACTTTATTGTCATGGACTTAATGATTCTTCTCCCCTAGCTTAGCTCTAGGGTGATAATATTCTACCTGAAACATTTGAATTAAAAGGATACTATTGGTAGTATATTCCCCCCTAGGCTTGAAACTGAGATAGACAGGGCCACTGGCTGAGCTCAATTTAATATCATGCTAGCTGATGGATTTAGGGCATGAATAGCATGCTGTGTGAGTAGAATTTCACCCAGCAGCTGCTTCTGCCTGTAACATGAGTAGACAGTGTATCAGTTCACATTTACAGTGCCCCTTCCCCCAGAAGCATTTGATAGTATTAGACTAACTATGAGGAGGTGGGGAATCATCCCAGGGTTAACCATGCTAGGTATGAATTAGTTACTGGGAGAAGAACAGCATTGGGCAAACTTCTCATGCTTGACACATCTTAGCGGCTCCAGTGCACAATGCAAGTGCTACTGCTTAGCTTCTGAAATACCTATGTCTTCATATTCTTAGCACTGTATATTAATTTTTAAAAAGTAGACTATGAAAAGCCAAAGTGGAATGAAAACCAGGATCTTAATCTAGTTAGTATGCCCAGATCATCTGGCTGCTTCTTTTGTGCCATATTAGAGATCTTCTGAAGACGGTATGGGACCTGAAGTGGCAGGTGTCCTATGCATGGCCTTGCCATTAGTGTGTCCACAATCGCATGGCATTCAGGGAGTTGCCAGCATGTCTAAAGGAAGTTGTCCCATGTTCCTGGACTCCAGCTTTTCGTATTTGATCCCCCTCTCTCTCTTTCAGTAGCATAGCTTGTGTGGGACACTGGAGCCGTTGTGATGGCAGCAGAAGTGTTTTCCCCTTAAAGCCAAGCCCATTATTTTTGATGGAACAGCAGGACGTACAGGGCATGTCTGAAGGGCAGGACGGCGGACGACCCACCCCTTATCCCCTGGGAGGTACCTCACTTCTTGTGCTTAACCCTAGCTGTAGCTTGACTTTCATCAAGGGGTTCACTCTAGACTGAATTTAGCCCAGCTCTGTGGTTTCTACCAGCTCTCTGCTCCCAGAAGATCCTGAGCAGCTTGCTCCTATTATAGGGCCGGCTCTCCTTGCCTGCCTCATGGCCTTGTTATCATCTTGCCTGGTGGCTACTCACTGCCCTTATATTTTAACATAGAGCGGTGGCCTGCTGAATCAGAAAATGCCCCAGTTTCTAGACACCATGTTTCTGTCTTTAAAGAAGAGAACAATAGGGGTTGATCTCAAATAGCCTCTGAGGTTGACATATTGGTCCCTCTTCTCCTTATTGAACAGCCCTGGGGTTGTCTTCATGTTGCATCAGTGTCAGGTTGGGGGTCTACCTGTGTCTAGGTAAAATATCAGCATTAGGACTGTGGTTGGCTTTAGAGTTGTCAAACAGAGAGGTTTTTCCTGATTATTTTTTGTTACCTTACAGTGTATTTTGATGTTTTCCCACCTTAGTTTGTTTTATTTTTATTTTTCCATAGTGCTTACTTTTCTGGTGCAGAAAGATTGTTGGGAACAGACAGGAACCAATGTGGGAATTCAACTTCAAGTTCAAAAAACAGGTATGTGATCTTTCTTTGCTTTGTCATTCAGGTAATATCTTCAGATGAATTTCACTAAGTATCTTAATCCCTTTTTGCTATCAAAACAAAGTGCCACAGACTAGGTAATTTTTGAAGAATGAAATTAACTTCCTCACAGTTCTGGAGACTGGGAAGTACAGGATCAAGATGCTTGCAGGTTCTGTGCCTGGCAAAACTCTGTTTTCTCTGCTTTCAAGGTGGTGCCTTATTGTTGCATCCTTTAAAGGAAAGAGACCCTGTCCTTATATAGCAGAGGGTAGAAAACCAAAGAGGTTGAACCCAGTGTAAAGCCTCTTTTGAAAGGGCCTTCATCCCATTTATGGGGAGGAGCCCTCATAACCTAATCACTGCCTAAATCCTACCTCTTACTACTATTGCAGTGGAGATTAAATTTCAACATGAACATTGGAGGGGCACAGGCATTCCAGCTATAACACTAGGCATGAAATGACCTTGTTACAAATCAAATAGTAGGACTAGGGATATGGCTCAGTGGTAGAGTACTTGCCTGAAATGCACAAGACCCTGTGTTTGATCCCCAGAAATGCTCCCCCCACCAATCAAATAATATACATCAAAACTTAAATAATACCCTGAAAAGAAAAAGGAGGAGGAACTATTTTATATTGAAAGATAAAGGTGACAACCTAATGCAAAGTGTAAACCTTGAGTGGCTTCTGGACCAGAGAACAAAGAACTATAGAAGACATTTTGGGGGCAGTTGCAGAATTTGAATATGCTGTGGCTATTAGATGATATAAAACTATTAATTTTCTTATGTGTGGTAATGGTATTGTGATTATGTATAAGTGTCTTTATTCATACTGAATTGTTAAGGTTGGAGTGTCTGTTACTTCCAAAAGGCTTTGTACTCCATTCTTCCCAAAGTATGTATGTGAGGGAGTTGGGAAATTAAATATGGCAAAATATCCAATGGTGGAGTATATATAGTTTAGTATACTATACTTTTCTATATATTTGAAGACTTAAAAAGTGAAAAAGAAAAACTTACTATAATCATGCACTGAACTTATTTGCTTAAGTTTTCTTTTGTTCAAACATTTGTAAACAACAAAAATTAATATAGTTTTATGTTCAAGATAGTTTTGGGGAAGCCCTGAGGAGAGAGTTTGCCAGAAGGCTTTTTATAAAACATGAACATTTGTTCATTTTTTTTCTCTGCATTTTGCTTAAACTATAAGATCTTGGCTATCGTGTGGATCTGTTTTGTCATTCTTTTCTTATCCTCAGCAGCTGCATTTTAAAAATCTCTCCTCTAGTTAGTAGCTCACTGGTAAGACACATTACAAATATAGTTAGTTATCCCTCGATGATGGCAGGTGGGTTATAGATAGTTCTTAAAGTAAATCATATTTTTCTGTTTTTTTTTTTTTTTTCAAAAACATGGTTCAGGGGAAGAATTTAGCTCCCATAGTTCACATTTAGAAAGATAAGATGCTTAAAATCTATGAAACCTGTTAGATGTTGCTAAAGTGAACCATGGGAGTTTTCTGGGAGGGTACTGAGGGGCAGTGGAGAGATATAACTAGAAGCAGAGACCACAATTACTGCAGGAAAGTGAATACTTGTGAGTTCTGAGACTTGGGAATCTTTGGTTTAATGGCACCTGCTCTAGGAGGCCACTTCTGCTTCCATCCCTTTTGTGCATTAGATTTTAAGTTCGACAAGTCACAAGGAGTTTGCAGTCTTTCAGACATTATAGTGTCTCTGGTAGAGACTTTAAGTTTCTATTTGTCTGGTGGCAGGAGTACCATCTAAATGAAGCATACATTTGCTTATTCAAATATATTTTCCCTTTTTGCAGAAGGCAGATTTTCTTTGATCTTTGCATAGAAAGCAATAAACATAACAAGAGGAGATAACAGAAAAGTATCGGTTGTTGGATTTTCATTGATGGACTTTTAGAGAAATAAATATTTCCTCTAGGTCATTAGATTAATTTTGGTACTCTTCAGTCCCCTAGATTAAAGAGCAAATGTATGGAACGATTGCAGCCTCCCATTCAGTATGAAGATGTTCATACTAACCCAGACCAGGACTGCTGCTTACTGCAGGTCACCACCCTCAATTTCATCTTTATTCCAATTGTCATGGGAATGATATTTACCCTGGTAAGTGGAGACTCAGGATTTCATCCACAGCTCTTTCATAAACTTTTGCTATATTTAGAATTTAAAAGAGATTTGTAAATTCAACCAGTGAGAAAAAAATACCTGAAGAATAATTTATAAAAATTTGAAATTAGGCTTGTATATTAACAGATAGTTGGGGATTAATATATATTAGAATATGTTGTTACCTATTGTTCTCTCTAGATCAGGGAATGTTTTGCATTGTTATGTGTGTGCAATGATCATTATGATTAAAAGAAATAATGAGGAAGCGTGTGCATGCACATTGTATGTCAAGTCTGTGAGGCATTCATGTGGTTTCAAATGGAACATTAAGTACAGGGTGAGCAGCTCTACCTTTGTGCAGTGCTCTGGCTAGTCAGCATTTGGCTAAGAATCAGTAAACAGTGTATGTGCCTGTGTCTTAATTTTTCCATGTTTTAAAATATTTTAATTGGATTGGCAATTAAACTGGAAAGTTTGGGCTATTTATCTTTTCAGTGTTTAGGGCTTATGTTCATAGATAGGCAGACTTCCCCTCCAAAATGAAAATAGCTTTATTATTTTTTGAATGGTAAAAAATAATGCTTCATGTAAAGAATTTAGATAATAAATAAATATATTGAGAAAGTAAAGGTGACTTAGACTTCCAATGTCTTGTAACTGCAGTTAACCTGGAAACTGTTTTTCTAATGCATCTGTTAATGTTCATGTATATATCCTTTCTCAGATAATTTTGAGTAATTGAGATTATGTCATATATGCTATTTTTGTTGTAGGTACTTTTCTTCTTCCTCTTGGTTAAGCCATATTAATGACCTAGTTATGTATTCACATTCCATATCCTTCGTATTAATTCTATATAGAACTACATATGCATATTTGGAGATTTTGTAGTTTCATTTTACAAAAAAAGGGGATCAGGTTTATGTTTCATGCATCTTCCTTAATTTGTTCAATGTTATCTAAATCCCTTTAAGTCATCTCTTACTTGACTTTAATGACTTTGGTGTGTGTGTGTGTGTGTGTGTGTGTGTGTGTGTGTGTGTGTACTAATTTATTCAACCATCTGGAAGACTTTTTTTAGCCTAGTTTAAATATATGAAGCTGAGAAGACCTTACACATCTGTAATCCCAGTAGCTTTGGTAGGGTCGCCAGTTCAAAGCCAGCCTCAGCAATTTAGCGAGGGCCCAAGCAACTTAGCAAGACTGTGTCTCAAAGTAAAATATAAAAAAGGGTTGGGGGTGAGGCCTAGTGGTTAAGTGCCTCTGGGTTCAATCCCTTGATACCAGAAACAAACAAAAAAAATTTTAAAAAGTTAAAATTACACTTTTTAAAATGTTTTTACAAAGGTGTTGGTGTTATAACTTAGAGATTAATGTTGCAACCTAGTTAGTATAAATTATTTCTGGACTATTTCATTTCAGGGCGAGCCAGAGGAAACCAAGTTTTTTTGAATTAGGTATTAAATTTGTTTTTCTCTTCTAGTTTACTATTAATGTGAGCACAGACATGCGGCATCATCGAGTGAGACTGGTGTTCCAAGATTCTCCTGTCCACGGTGGTCGGAACCTGCGCAGTGAACAGGGTGTGCAAGTCATCCTGGATCCAGTGCACAGCGTCCGACTCTTTGACTGGTGGCATCCGCAGTATCCGTTCTCCCTGAGAGCATAGTTATTTCTTCCCATCCTTTGGGGCAGCCCTGAGTCTAGTCCATAAGTAATCAGATTTCAGTTTGAAGGGGATGGTTCTATTGTATATCTGATTAGTAATGCATATGCTCTTTTGGTTCCTGGGGCTCCTATTATTGGAGGGAGAAGGGTTGAATCAAGAGGAAAACAACTATGGTTTATAAACATATTTTAATGTAAAATTTGCATTTGAAAGGAGAAACCTGGCCCTGTTTTCTGTGTTAAATCCCATTTGGTGCTATTGAGTTTATTGTTCTATATTCTTTCATCCTATTGAAAATGGATGATCTTGCTCTAGGGAAAAATTAAACACTTAAATCTTCAAGCAAGAAAGTTTTCCCTTATGGATCAGAGGAACAGAACCAGAGGCCTAAAATTGTTATAACTACTGCTTCCAGTGTAGCTGCCCCTCAAATTCAAGTGAATATTTTCTCATCTCCCTTTACCTTTCTCCAGAAATAAAACAGGTGACAGGGTTTTCAGAATCTTACTAGATCAACTTGTGAATCTTTCTTTTAAAATAATTCTTGGATATTTATTGCATAAATACTGTTTTGCCAGTTTTGGGTTTTAGGGTTCTTTTTTTTTTTTTTTCCCTTCCTTTTCTGCATGAGGCTGATAGTGATAATGACATTGTGCCCTTGGTGGGATACTAGGAACTTTATGTAGTATTCTAATCCTTATAGTGTTGCAAGGTAGGTGAAACTATTTCCAGTTTATAATTGAGTAAATGAATTGGTGACTTACCCAAGGCCATAACTGCCAATAAATGGGCAGAGCTAAGATCTTTTTTTTTTTTTTTTCCTGATCCAGGTTTTTTTCGCTATGCCACAATTTAAAAAGTCAGTTTCATTTTTTCTTGTGGTAGATAATGGTGAGAATAGGCAGAATATAATAGATTTAAAGGTATAAGGTTGAGAAAAATTTGATCAGCCTAAAAAGTATATAAGATTGATGAAATAATCTTTTAAATATGTGTTTTTTAGTAAAATATAAACTAACCAAGAAAGTTATTTCAGGAAGGATAGTGGCATTTTCATTAAGTTGTTAGAAAAGCATTTATTATGCTAAAGGTCATTTTTAAAAAATGCACTGCATGTTGAAACCAGCCTCTTAAACCATAAGCACTTAGTAACTTTGCTTTGCTCTGCCCTGCACTGTACTGCTTCTGTTGTCAGGCCTCTTGTCCAGGTAGAGATGCTAATGTCTTCCTGTTGAGCAGAGGACTTGCTATGGCTGGTGTACTGAGATGAGGATGGTGGGTGACTTTTGTTTTTGCTAAGAAAATAACCTTGCTGCTCCCTCGAAACCCCTATGATCCAGGGAGCTGGATATTGTCAAGAAGTGGGCATTAAGATGACATTTTTAAACATGAAAATTCTGTGGGGGAGATATCATTAAGAGCCAAATACCTAAATTAGTATTTTTTTTCCCCCTTACCATCTTTCTTACCCTCTGCTATTTAAAGAATATTCTTAGGAAGCATCTGCCTTATATGGTTACTAACAGCTAGCCTTACCCCACATTGAGGGTGGTACTTAAGCTGTTCATAGATAGTGAGCCTGGGTCAGTGAAAAACAGAATTTGGGTAAAAACAAGCCAAAAAAATAAAAATAAATCTAAGAACAATAAGCACCTCGCAGATCTCTACAATCAAAAGTTACCTCTTTGTGGCAGAAGGAAAGAAGCATAGTCCCTAGTTCCCTAAACAAAAGATGCCATGGAGTGGGAGGAAGTTGTCCTGGTGGATTGTGTGTCCCCCATTTAGGATTTACCTTTAAAAGGGGGGTGAATAAATTCAGCTTAATAATTGTGTTCTGATTCAACTTCTGAGTTTTTGTATCAAACTCCATGGTATAATGATAGATACACTTTGCATAATGTCTCTGCTCTTCTCTCATCATCGATTCTCTCTCATAATGGACAAGCCCTTGGTAAATGTGTTATAGTTGGTTTTGATGGCTTCAGCCTTCCTTTGCATTGGCTAAGTTGCCTAGCACAATTCACATTTTGTTGGTAAAAGGTTGTGAAGTCTTAGGGATTTCCCTCGGTGAGAACTCCAGGTAGAGAAGAGTTGGAACTTTCTGTACTCTAGGTTAAAAAATACTCCCCACCCTGCCACATCTCCCTCCCTCCCTCCCTCTCTTGCTCTCTCTCTCTCACTCACACACACACACACCCCCACACACCCACACACACCCACACCCACACACCACAATTTTGCTCTGAGGATCAAAGTAATACAAATTTAGCTTTAACACCCCCCCCCCAAATAAATTGGGATTACTCAGATTTTCTTGCCTTCTAGTAATGTAAGGAAACTAAGCCAAGTGGCAAATATATTGGGGGGAAAATAATAAGTGAAAAATTGTGTCACTGATCTCAACTACAGTCTTTGCTGCTGAAATAGGATGTGTATATATCTATAAATGCATGTGTACACATTGCATGTATATAAAAATTCTTCACACTTCTAGCAGTGCTTACAGGATATTTGTAAAGGATTGAGTAGGCACTGTGATGAAACTTAACAAACCAGATGGAAAAGATGCATTAATAGCCACGGGGTGTGAGGGAGGTGTGGACCGGGTTAGGGAGCAATTCAGGAAAATGGAGAGGTTTAGCTATAGTTGTCAGTCAGGAATTTTGGCCTGAGTCAGTTTTCATACTATGTGTATGCAATTTACAAATACTTCATTTTATAGTAACAGTGTTAGAACAGTCAGATGCCCGAAGGCAAGTGACACAGTTTACTTAAGTGTATACTACGAAATGTATATGGATTTCAAATTTCTTAAAAGGATGGGAGAGAGCAGGTGTGAAAGGTGATAACCACTGTCAATTTAGGGAACAGATTGTTACCAAGGACAGGGGTGAGTTAAAAGACAGGGGTTGGGGATATTTGCTGCACTGACGGCCCTGAGACCTTACTGCCGCCAGGTAAAACTCTGGCACTCGGCCACCTCGCTATCATTCTCCAGGCCGAACCAAGATGGCGCGCAGCATCAAAGCGGCGCCCTAGTCACGTGCCAGGGCCGGGGAGCGCCCGGAGGCGGGAGGCGTGGGTTTTTGGGGTAGGTGGCCAGGCCACGCCCCTGGGGTGGGGCTAGGGTATCGCGGCAGGGCGCTAGGGTGGCGGAGGCTGTATCTACCTCCGCGCGCTCTCGGTTTTCTAGGACGTGTTTCGTTGCCCCGGCCGGGGGCGGCTCCCTGCTGCCTCCGAGCTGAGCTGCCCGCTGCTGGGCCTTCGGCGATTGCAGACACAGGTGAGCGCCCAGAGCCCGAGCTGGAGGGAAGGATGACTCTTATTCCCAGTTCCAGCTCCCCTCCACAGTTTGGGGAGGGGGTCGCTGTCTAGCGCACCTTGGGAAACTGTCCCTTTTTACTCTGGATGTGTCTGCGGCAGGCGCAGATACTGTTTCCTCCGTCGCCCCTCACCAGTGTTTGCAGTGCCCTGTGCCCTTGGGGATGAGAATGGGGGGCGATGCCGATTTGCAGGGAGGGCGTGGAGTTCGCCCTCCGTTCCATCGTCTTCGCGGGAGGAGGGCTCAGTTGGCTAGTTCCCGGGTGGGAACTGGGTGAACTGATGCACCCTCATTTCCCCTCCGGGAGAATCAGAGAAATAGTGCTCCTCAGCTTGTTGGCCAATCACTCCTTGGGGCAATCTTTTCTCAGGGACAGAGGTCTTCGTGTTTCTGAGGGTCTTAATCCTTCCCGCGTGCTTCATTATATCCCTTGTTACTATTGCCAGCTCTCCATTCCTGGAGCTGTCAGTCTTAAGCTATGCCCCAGATGCCCCCATCTCCGCAGTGCCAGGGCGGTGGGGTGGAAAGAGAGGCCAACCGGAAGCCTGGTGGGGGCGGGGATGAGGGTGGGCGCAACAGGAAAAGACAGCTGGATTAGAGATTCCTGAACTGGGAGGGTGCGATGGGGAGCTGACTTTTGTCCACGCAGTAGGGATGTTTTCCGGTGCAGATCTCAAGGTTTTTGATGGTGGGTAGGAAGAGAGGTCGGGTTGGAGGACTTGAAATGGGTGTGGGTGGTTTTCTTGAGAAGGAGGAGGGATCTAGGACAAAGTGCCACTAGGTGCTGATGTCACCTTTAAGGAGAAGAGATATGTTGGTAGTTTTCATTGAGAGGTAGGGGAGTTGAGGCTGCTGTTCATTTCTTCTCTGAGGGGAGCAAGTGATTAGGAAGGAGTCTCTGCTTAGCATGGAGATCCCTTCCTTGTGTGATCTTAAGAGGTCTTTTCAGAAGCCAGGTTGCAGGGACTTCCTGTATTCTTTACAGAGTTGTTGGTACTTTGTTCAATATCCAGCGAACATTGGTCCAGGAACCATATTAGATACTTGGTCTTCTGAAGGCAATTTAGGGCCATGGAGCAGCTGAAAGGTACTCAATTTATGTACAAATATTAGGTACTCTGTTAACATTCCCCTCACGCACACATTTTAATTACATTGCTTTTGAATTATCAAAAGACAGAGCCTAATAGGATTCCAACCCCGTGCCATCCCTACCACTATGAGTTGTTCAGTCCCAGGGGAGTTGCCTTAGAAAAAGGACAGCTTGAATGATTTCCCTTGGTTGTTTTCTTAGATTTTGTCCTGTGGTCTAAGGAGGTTGCTTAAGATAAATAGTATCTGAAAGTAATGAGATGATGGATAGCCCAGTGGTTATTGGGAGCCTCTCTGCACAGTGGGAGACACCCATCTCTGGAAGATGGAAAAGTATGGGGGAGGGGGCATGGAGGGGAAAGCTCATTAATGGTATTGAGTGTGTGCTGTTGAGCATGCCATGTTGTCAGAGTGTGAGAGGTCTGGCAGCTGGGTTTTAAAGGAAGGATGAGAAGGGGCAAGGCAGGCATCAGACTTTTGAGTCCCCTGGTGAATTGATGGAACCTCAGAGTTGGAAGCGTTATCAGGGATTGTCATGTGTCCGTTCTGAGCCTTTGAGGATAGGAGGGCTAGAACTGGGGGGAGGATGAGGAGTTGGACTGTGGTGGCAATGACACAGGTGTGAGGACTCAGGAGGGCCAGGGAGTGTCAAGGAGGATTTCAGATACCTGGGAGCCAGCTAGTACCTTCTTATGCCAGGGATACTCTCTCCTGGGCCTTCGGCTCAATTTTGTTGAGTTGGTAGAGGAGCTGTTCTATGAACAAGGAGTGGTGACTGTCTGGAGTTGTGTAAGTGTGTGTGCATTCGTGAGTGTGGGTCTGTGTGTGTGTGTGGGGGGGGGGTACTGGAGAAAAAGAGTTAGGAGCAGGAAAGACTGAGGGAGTTGAAGTTGCTTCAGAACCTGGGTCCCAGGTAGGGAATTGAGAGAAATGGAAGGGGGGAGTGGGGTCAGAGGGAGGGACAAGAGTATATTGCAGCCACATGAAGTCACCATCTGTCCCCCTCTGGCCTGCTAGCTCACTGACCTATAATTAGCTCTGGAGGGCATACGGTGCTGGCTCACAGGAACATGGCACTTTGGATGGCCAGCGGAGTGAAGAGTACTCACAGAAACTGTGATCCTACGCTGAGGACCATATGCCCAGGACCAGGGCTTCTCTGAGTACTCTGCTTACAAGGGGGCTGCTTCTAGGTGACCCCCCATATTTGCTGTATTGAGAGGGATACCTGGAGGAACCAAGGATATCATTGGGGGTTGGGCTTGTGGGGGGAAACAGTAGTGGTGCAAGGAGTTCTAAGTGAGGAGGGTGTGAGGACCAGCAAGACCCTCAGGACTCCCTATTCACTGCCTGTCCTTGCCTGGCCACCGCCTTGCCACACAAACTAATTGCTGCCCAATTCTTTGTCCTGCCTGCAGAGAGGCTTAGGTGCTACAGTCTCAGGTCCTCCTTCAGGTGTCTTCTCTTCCTCCAGAAGAAGTTAGCTGTAGCACAGGCAGCTGCTTGCCTTTCTGTTTGGGGCTGAGACCTTGGCTAGGGCCACTTCCTTCTCAGAGCTGGTGGAGAAACTGCTGCCAACTGATTCAATTGGTTATATTCCAAGTGATGCTTAGTACTGACCCCCAGGCTGGGCCAGAGAGCATATTTGTCCTCTGCTCCTCTGAATTGCTCTCAGATGATTACATGTGTATCTGTGTTCTCCCAAGTAGCCCATGAACTTCCTGAGGATGGAGATGTATCTTCCATATCTGTAATAGTGTTGGATTCATGGAAATCACTCACTGAGAGATCGTTAGATTGAATTGTCTTCACTCAGGTCCCTTGAGCTCCATGAAACAGGGCCTACTTGCAACTAGAAATATTTAACCTGGAGCAGAGAAGCCTCGAGAGACCCAGTACAGTGCTATTATATCTCACTGGGGGAATTAGATTCCATAGTCAGTAGATAAGATCCATAAATCTCTCATAAAGCATGGTCTATAGGTTTAGGTTTATAACCCTAAACAACATATATAGTATACACTTAGTATATATATATATAGAGAGAGACTTAATATATATATGTGTATATATAGATAATATGCATTCTTTGTTAATTATATAAATATGTAACATATACTATTGGATGATAATTTTAAATAGAGTACATATGCCTGATATGATTCTGTAGTTCAATGTCAGATGAAATAGCTGGTTTGCATTTAGAGGCCCTTGTTGCTTTTTTCACCCAGCCAGCAGAGTTGAATTCTCATAAATTGAACACATACCTGAGTGCCTTCTTGGTTATTATCTTCAAATAGATAACCATCATTTCAAAGATAGGGAGATAGGTTTCCATGTGATTTAAGAAGAACTTCATTGTAACAGCGAGGCTTCCTCATTGAGTAGTGAGGTCCTTACTCCTGAGGGATAGTCAAGTAAAGACTCAGCTCTCACAGATGCTGTGGCCACCACTCCCACACACTGTAGGGGAATCTGTAGTTCCAGGTGAGGGTTAGGTGGGGAGAGCTACTGGATAGAGGGGTCCTTGGCTGCTGCTTTAGAAAAATGACTCTTCTTTTCTGCTGAGAATAGAGTAGTGAGGTACTGGGTAGTAGGGCCAGGCTCAGGGCTTGGCCTGTGCTGGTCCAGGAGACTGAGCATTCTGGAAGATGCAGGGGATGACCCCAGCCATCTTGCATGGATGTGGAGCAGTGTATCTTGATAGGAGGTGGTAATTAAAAGGGTGGGCTGGGCCCAGGTCCATGACCTCAGCTTACATTGGGCCTGAAACTTTTGGCCCTGATTGGGACAGAGCATCTGGAATAAGTGGAGTTTTCTTTTATTCCTGTTCTTCCCTCCCATCCCTCACACATTCTCATAGAGGTTCAAGACCACTCATGCACTTTCATTCTTATGCGCAGCAGCACACTTTCCTGATCACACCACATGTACACACAAGCTCTTGTGGCCCCCTGAGCACACACAATCTTGAGACTCTGGAATGCACGGGCTTCTTTGACCAGATATACTCTCTTTCCCCATGACTGTGCACACACACATTCTCATGACTACAGTCTGATACAGTCATGAGCCCTGACATAGAATTGTGACCACACACATCCACACACTCTCACAGTCATACACGCCCACCCACTTTCATGCACACACTCTCTAGACCCATAGCCTAACACACACACACATTCTCTCTCTCTCTCTCCTTCTTTTATATATAACCACATGTATACATACACCATGCCTTCCCATGGCCCTATACTTACATGCTATGTGGCATGGATACACATTGACCCCACTCACATTCTTTCTTTTTATAAACACACACACACATATAACACACACTTTTGTGACCACATTCATATGCATATTTTATGACACCCACATTTCTCAGGGCAGTTGTACTCTGGACCTTTCATGCCCTGGCACCTGTCGGCACTCTGGCTGAACTGTTTTCTACCACATGGAACCGCCCAAATCTGTCCATCTAATGCAGTGACTTCTTAGCAATTATTTTTTTTCAACACCCAGAGAACCCTGTGTAGTATTTGTCCCACACAGACCCCTGGTTTTGAAAGATTTTTATTCTCCAAATATACCACACTTGCTACTTTTGTTTCTTCTTTTGCAAACATTATTTGAGAAAATTCGCTTTAGTTAGTGGCTCTGATTAGTAGAAGATGGCTAGGGTGACCATTCTCTATGATGTACATTGAGTAAAAGCTGTGTGCTGTGTTCATGGGTGCAGCCTCATGTCTTGGCTTGATCTCCATGAGACTTCTAGAGTGTGGAAAATGGTTGGTGAACCTGGTGCTATCTGTAGCCTTCCCGTTTATGGCTCTAGTACTCTGCCTCTCTGAGAGAACTTATGCTTA